AGTTTTCAAACTACCTCAAACTTAAAACACTATAAAAGTGACTGTAATTTTTCTCACATATGATGGAGAAAAAAAAGAGAATTATATATTTTGTCATTATTTTTCTCTCTTATTTGTACTTATRTATTTCAGAAATTTTGATATCAATTAGTTGCCAACTGTCAGTGATTCTAATAATTGTGAYAACTTTATGTGCAATGGAATTACAAGGAGTCATAAGAGTGTTTAACTAAACTTGTTTCTAAATGCAAGAGCCATGGATATTTTTATTCTAAATGTAAAAGACATTTTAAAATTAATGCTAASATTTTATCCTAATAATGTCAGAACATTTGATCAGTTTTCATGAAATAAAACATTAAGCTCAAAGTGAAATTCCCCTTTTACCATTCCTTGGACTTATTTCTCCCCCACCACAAGCCACTACCATAATAAAAGTTCTATCTTTCCAAATCACATGTTTATTCTTTCTTTCTCTTTATGTGTGTATGTTTATATATGATATTGTCAATGGTTTCAAAAAAAAACCTTTCACATAATTGAGATTTTGCAGTATCAATCTCTTGTGCCACTTGAATTAATTTACTCTRTATTTTTTTGAGAACACTGTATGGGTCTATCTAATTTCTTTTAATTGCCAAATGGTATTTACATGTACATTTCCAGGTATTGACTATGGTTTGCCCAAGTGTTTCTCTAATTTATTTTCCTACCTACAATATCTGAGAGAAATTTTTCTGTCTCTTCCCTAACWCTTAGTGCTATCAGACTTTCGAACTGTTTGACAGAGGAGTGGAGAGGAGGCTTGTGTTTCATTTTTATTACTCCAATTCTCTTAGTGTATTCAGTGGCCACACATGCATACATTGCAAGAGGCCTGGGTTCAATCCCTAATACTAGGGGGAAAAAAAGTTTTGTCACAAAAATTAAATACAAATCATTTAGAATATTGCCTGGTACAAACAGAGAACTTTACAAGTGTTGGCTCTTAGGATTTTGCTTGTAATGTGATTTTGCTTATATTGTCTGTAAAGCCCTTCCTAGCACCTCTGATGTCTCTGTATGGTTAAAGGTTACATGCTATTGTATGGTACTCACTAGAAATCTGTGTTGTCCTCACAGTCATTGGGTACTAGAGCTCATAAGTASATAGGTTTGTTTAAGTGCCTATGGACTGATCTAAACCACATCTATATTTTTCTTARATTTTATTTTTTCGAGAAAATTTTTGTTTCAAGTAATAGCATTTTAGCAATAAAAGCAAACRTTATTCCCTGAAGGGAAACATGCATGTAAGCTACAAACAGTTTCAAAACTGTGTCTTCTATTAAACTGAACTGTTTAACTGAAAGAAGTCTATCACAAGCAATTCCTAACTCGTGATGTGAGAATGTCTGAGACACAGTCATGATGCAAGTTTATTAAATGAATTAATAGTTTTTTTGCTTTTTAAAAGACATCCACCTTAGAAMCATTTTTAAGAGAAGGAATCAAGGGAGTAAAATATGCAATTGCATTGAATCCCCTAGCACAGAGAATAAAGTGTGCAGTTAAAGGAAATAAAATCCAAACCAGCTTTCTCTCGGGATTTCTATTCTCTGTGATCAGTCATACTTTTAATGCATGTTAACTGTGCGAAAGGAATCAGGRAAACCATTGAAGTGATTAATGCCTTTGTCTGCCCAAAAGGAAGGTGCCTCTGCTTTAAGAGCCTAGTTTTATATTCACTGTGGATGGTACTTTTTCAATTGCAGTAAGGAAAATGTTTTTTCTTCTTTCTGTTGCATCATAAAATTGAAACACTTTTGAAGGAGATGGATAGAAAAATAAATGTTATGTAGTAGCGTGATGTGGAGCCCTGCACATAAAATCACCATGAGGATGGACGAAAAATCCCAAAGGATGACTCAGAGCTGTGGCAGCACCTTGTCTGTGCTGGGGTTACCCAGACACTTTATCCTGCTTTCTACTGTGGAAACAGAAGTTTCAAAAAAAAAAAGAAGAAGAAAAAAAGAAGGAAGGAAGGAAGGAAGGAAGGAAGGAAGGAAGGAAGGAAGGAAGGAAGGAAGGAAGGTAGGGAGGAGGGAAGGAAGGAGGAAAAAGAAAAGACTTAAGAATGCAAATCATGGCACAGAAAATTTCTGTTTTGGTCAGTGTGAAATCTCTTCTATAAAATCAAACGATCCTGCAGCTTTTAACTTTTAACACATCAATGGTCTATTTCTTGCTCATGCTCTGTGTTCTCTGTGGGTTAGAGGAAGTCTCTGTGCTACATGCTGACTCAGGGACCCATCCTGGGCCTCAAAGGACAGAAGCTGGAAGACCTCATGCCTTCCCTCTGTGCTTGGGCAGGAAGTGAGCCCTGTCACTTCCTGCCACAGGCTCTCACATGACCTCATCTTCRTGCAAGGGGAGGGCAGTGTGGCCCCCAGTGTGGCTGGAAGGAAAGGACAACTGGACTTTGCTGAGCCCCGAAGCAGCGTCTGTTGAATCACTCATGGGGGCTGCTCTAAATAGCTGGGTGCTTCAGTGTTTCCCTCCGTGATTTTGGACCATGAATGAGGAGTTAGTTTGGGAGCTAGTTGGACAGGTTCATTCAAATCCCTGCTGAATTCTTCATGAGCTGTGCAGTCAAGTTACTTAACATCACCGAGCCTTATCTCTAAGGAGGGTTACGGTGATGCAAAATGTMAGGGCTCTGGTATACAGTAAGCACTTAGCAGTAAATAGCTGTGGTGATAAAGKCATGTACTAGTATAGAGAGGGTAGTAAATCCTGGAGGATATGAGAACATTTTTTATTGTATCAGAAAAATATTTTATCAGTTTCCAGGGGYTGCCTTAACAAATTACCATAATTGGGTGCTTAAAATTTTATTTTCTCACAATTTAAGAGGCCGAGAGTTCAAACTTAGGTCATCAGCAGGGCCCTGTTCCTACAAATGCACAAGGGAAGGTGCCGTGGGTACCCTTCCAGGTTCTGAATTCTTCAACCAATCCTCAGCTTGAGGCCGGATGGCTGCACTCTCTGCCTCCCTTTTTACTTGGCCTTCTCCCCTGGTCTTCTCTCTGTGTGAGAACATTTGTTAATAGATTCAGAGTCCTCCTAGGTAAACCAGAATGACCTCATTTGAAGATCATTAACTTATTGCATTTCAAAATCTCTTTTTCCAAGTAAGTTACCATCGACTGGTTGCAAGGTTTCTGTGTACACTCATGTTTAGAAGAGAGAAGACCACCAGACATCCCACTACAAGATGAAGGAAAATTCCAACCCCATGWAAACACATGGCATATACATGCTTAGAATTGGATCAGCCTTAAAGTATGGAATAAAGTAGTGGAACAGCTTTAAATTCATAGTGCATCCTTAATAGAAACAGTATCTACTGGTTTTCAAAGATAATAGAGCATGAGGGTCATCACAGTGCAGATTCTCAGCCCCACCTGAAGATTTTCTGATTCTGTGGGTTTCTTATGAGACCTAAAATACATGTATTTAAGAAGAGCCACAAATGATTCTGACACAAGTAAGCATTTGGATATACTCAGAATTAATATGCCTCCTGCAAATGACCATTAAGATTGATATTAACATTTACATCATTTAAAAATCATGGTTAATCAGCTTCTTACAGTATTAAAATAGCCACGATGACTATGGTTTAGATTTATTGTGGTGATTCTTGGATTTTGAGATGAGATTGCTTAATGTTAAATGCCACTTACTAAGAGAACCTGCTTTAAAATTGTTTTTAATATTGATTTTAGGATTTTATTTCTATTTTAAGGGTTTGACTGTAGTTTGATGTTGCTTTTATATAATATCTTTTCAGTGCAAGAAAGAGTTTCATGGGACTGAATTTACCAATTTATCATTTCATATAGCAATTCTGTGGATAGCTCTTATTGTAAAACCATTTTTTTAGTTTGCTAATGCGGGTTGATGCAGGAGCAAGACACACTATAAAAGTCATATGTTTCTTAAGGGACTATTCTTGTATTCATTTGCATCAATCATGGCTTTTCTGAACATTGATTTATACCAGAAATCTCTTTTTCTCCTGTCAATGTATTCAGAAGCCACCTCTAAGGTACAGATTAAAGACCTAAACTCCACTTGCTGTTAAGGAACTGATGAGCTATTCACAGAAGCTGCCAAATCAGAGGCAAAAAAATCTAGTGAAATGAGGGTAGAAAAATCATTCTCCAAAAGGTATCTGTCAGTAATTGACATTAACTTTCTTTCCAATTATTGACATAAAAAGTGGGCAGGTAGGAAAAGTCCACACGTACAATGAAAGTTGTTCACATTTAGAAGCTTTAAATTTATCCATCTATTTTGCATTTAATAAATTATTCAAAATAAATCTGTTGCCACTGTGTACAATATGATTGGCATAGCATATATATGAACAACATTTTATGCTGGATTATTTTATAGATATATCATCAAGTGAGAAAGCCAGAAATGTATATTCAATTGGTGGAAAAGTGTTATTAATTTTAAATGACAATTTATAGTAATCAACTGAAAGGAAGTGTTCATAGGGAATGTCAAAGTAAAGGAAAAGAATTATTTTATCTTCTTTGTAATAAAAAGAGAGATAGTTATTTCTTCATTGGGCTACTTTACAAAGTCTATATATAACCTTATTCAGACTTGTAGTTTAAAATAACTACAAGTTATATGTGAGACTGCATGTATACAGAAGCTGTATTGTAAGGAACAAGTTTAATGGATTGAGATTTGTTTAAAAAAAATAAAAATGAGCTGTCCTTGTGGAAATTTCTGAACAATGTCCATTTACAACATGGTAGTACCTGTGAATCAAWAGCAATACATGGCAAATGGACCAATTATGCCACTTTTCTCAGCAAGGAATTAAAGGCAGTGTCATGGAACCAGTGTACTGCTCTGTTGAGCCTTTGTGACTTGCAGTTTGGGACCTTTTTTTTTTCTAATCAGTGCATTATACCTGTGTGTTCTCTTTTTTGCAGTTCAGCAGAAGAGCAGTTTCATTGGCAGCCACAAGGTAAAGTATGGGCTCCTGGTGGGTCCTTATGCTTACTTCCACATACAGTAAATGGGAAAACGTGACAGTAACAATTACAGTGACGCTGTTGTGATAAACAAGTGGGGAGCRAAGTTCTCATTCTCTGATCCCTTCATGTTCTCCAGGGATAGGTGGAATTGGCTGGCCTTGGCATTAGCCCTGGCTGTCAATTACAAGTTTATACAATGAGAACTTCATGGAGATGATGGATTTCTTGGGAAACTTTTTGATTATTAAGTTGTAATCTCAAGCTTTTAGTGTTAATATATCACTTACTGATTCATCCTTTTCAAATATCTTATTTCAGATGGTCAAAAAGATATCGAAGATGAACTTACAACAGGTCTTGAGCTGGTGGACTCCTGCATCCGATCACTGCAGGAGTCAGGAATCCTTGACCCGCAGGACTATTCCACCAGCGAAAGTAAGTCAGATGGCAGTTACAGTGGAAGACCTTCAGGACACAGCATATTGTGCCATAGTTTTTTTCTGATATAATTACTATTATGCACCATATATGATAGGGCTTCTAGATATTTCTATACTTGTGTTATCAATTTCCTTCCACTCTCAACTACCTGCCCACATTACCCTATCCTGACTCCCATTGAATTAAAAAGCTCTCTAACTCAGTCATTGACATCTAGATTATTTTCACCATTAAGACTAGCATATTTAATGAACTCACATGCTTGTTTAACCAACACAATGTCTAACTTGAAATTAACGATCATACATGCTTTATTCATACAAATAATTTGTGGTAGAGATCTTTAAAATCTGCAATTATGTAACAAAATAGATATCAATTTGGTATAATGTTAACTAGTATTAATAATAATAATGTAATACTCAATAACTTCTTATATTCCTACACTTAACCTTGCATCACTATATTAATTTCAGTAGAATATTGAAATATTTTTCTTTTCATTTAATATATTTAACCAGAGAAATTGAAACAAATTAAAAATGTGAGGAATTGAAATAAGTCATTTTTTTAATAAAATGTAAAATTCTCTGGACTTATTTTAATAAAATTCCACAAAAGACTAAAAAGGAAATAATTTAATAAATCATGTTCTCATATTTTAGTATTAAAAATAAATGAAGCAATCAATTCCTTAACTTTAAAAAAAATAAAATTGCCTCTAATATACTTCAAGATTTGTCTTATAAAAGGAAAACATAAGAATAAGATAGCATAGTTATCTTATAAACCATTTAATTTATATACTACATCATCTTCTCTGTAATTTTTATACCACCATTATTCTTTGGATAACAATCCTGTAAATATCCAGATTGATTTTTAAACCCATATCTATCCCCTTAATAGAACTCCTAAAGTAAGATGAATGATTGTTATTTTGTATTCTCTGTATTTTATATTTAAATGTAGAATCATTACTTTTTCCCCAGAGTCATAAATATGTTTATGTTATAGGAGTAGCTGTATTTAAAATGCATTTAATTAATATTTGAACCACATTCACTCACCTTCCTAGAAAATAGGGAAGGCAGACATAGAATAGTAGGTCTTGCAGTGAAGGAGGCAAGATGATGTATAACACTCTTCATTAATATTAGAAGATCTTCTAATATTAATGATATACACCATCTTATCTAAGAATAGATCATTCTTCATATAATAATATAATCCTTTATTAAAGGTTATACCTCCTTCTAAACTCAAAATTTAGTTTAGAGTTCTAAATTTCTAAATTTTGAGTTTAGAAGGAGGTATAACCCTTAATAAATAGAAATCACAGAAAAAAGATAAAATAAGAGGGAGACATTAAAATATAAGTGATAARTATATCAACCTAGTTATGTGTAAGTGCATTGAGTTCACTAACAAGGATTATAATTCAAATTTGAAGTTAACAAAGATAAAACACTTATGTGACTTTTGGTGAAATTAATTGTTAAAATTAAAGGACTAGACAAAATAGTGCCAGCAAATGCAATGAATGCAAAGAGTGGAATTGGAAGATTATTGTGAGGTCAAGTGGAATGTATCATGGAGAATTGATCAGAGTCAGAGAGGAGCTAGGTAGTGAAACTGTCTTACCTCTAAGGATATGCTAGAACTAAGGAGCGTAAATGCACTGAACAATATAGAACCTGAGTTCTAATATTAAAGCTAAAGAGGCTGATGGAAAATATTGCTGTAGACACTTTAATGCTCATTCAGAAAGAATGCTACAAGAAAAAGCCACAGCAAGTCAGAAATTAAAACTAACAAATCAGTGTATTAAATAAATTTTCAAGTTTTAGTCATTGAATGATACTAATTTGTTTGTATATGCCCAGGGAATATTGACAAAAAGTGATCAGATCCTGGAAGATAAAGACAATTACATAGAAAGGCTATATTACTTGATAATAATGCTCGAGAATTAAAAGTGAATAATAAGGGGCTGGAGATATAGCCCAGTTGGTAGAATGTTTGCCTCGAAGGCATAAAACCCTGGGTTTGATCCCCAGCACCCCCCCACCCCCCCCACACACAGAGACAACAACAACAACAAAAAAAACACAAATTGAACAATAAAATAATAAGCAAAAAATAAATAAAAAACAGAAAACATACTTCTGGATATCTACTGAATTATAAGCAAAAAAGAAATTGCATACAATTTAGAATGCAAATAAAAAGGAACATTTTATAATAGAAACTGAATCCAGATGAAATCTAAATTTTGTTATTTAAAAAGTAAGACAAAATTTAAAGGAATGTTGTGCTTATTTKGGGAAATCTTATAAAGAGCCAAATAAAGTTTTAAAAATCAACAAAATGAAATGATAAAAGTAAATTCAGCTGGGTGCAGAGGCACCAGCCTGTAATCCCAGCTGCTCTGGAGGCTGAGACAGGAGGATAACAAGTTCAAAACCAGTCTCAGCAAAAAGTTAGGTGCTAAGCAACTCAGTAAGACCCTGTCTCTAAATAAAATACAAAATAAGACTGGGGATGTGGCTCAATGGTTCAGTGCCCCTGAGTTTAAACCCAGCCTCCAAAAAAAAAAAGTAAATTCAAAGACAAGATAATGCAAAATAAAATAGATGAGATAAATAAATGGCATAGAAAAATAAATAAACAGAACGGGTAAATATATGAGTATTTTTATTAAATGCCAGAAGATAATACCAAGCTTTCCTAGGTGAGAAGCTCTGCTACACCTGAGGAAAATGGAGAGGATTTGGCTTTCACTTTAGTTTTCCTGTAATATAAATTCAGAAGTCACCTACAGTGCTGGGCTGCGTTCAGTGATGAAGGCTTAGAGGTTTGGGGCCCTGGTTGAGTCTCCAGTCCTGCAATACCAACTAACAAAAGTCACCTCAAATGACGTATTTTCATCACAGGGAAGCTAAATGCTTTGGTAGAGCTTTTTCCAAATATACGTGGTAACTGTTGAATCTTTTTGCTTTTCAGAAAGATTAGTTTCTTTGTATTATTGTATACAGAATTACTTGAAGACTGATACAGGATTTTAGTTCATTATTCTTTTTTATAAGTTCTTGCATCCAGATTGAAAGAAAGGAAAAGAAACCAAATGAAACATATAAACCAAAGAAATTTCCATGTAATGAAAGCCCTACCCCAAAACCCTGCAATGGGGCTTTGGAAGCACAGAGAAATAGAGAATATGGTTATCCTTCAGAAACACTCTCAACTTTTTCCGTCACTTTCAGACTGAAGTAGCTGAGTAACATTTAGAGAAATAATTTGAAAATATTGGGTAGAGAGCATCATTTTGGAGATCAATATTGCCAATTTTAAGTGTTCATAAGGCTATAAAATAAAAATCTCAATTGCTCTGTGTTTCAGTTAGAGTCCAGATGGGATATAGAGAGTCTACACACACACAAAAAAAAAAAAAAAAAAAAAAAAACTTAACTGAAGAGAATTGAATTAAGGAACTCTTTGTACAGGAATGGGCGAGATTAAGGGAACACAGTGAATGTTGAGATACATGGGGTGTAGCAATGACCAAAAAAATAAAAGCCCCTCACCACCCTCACACGTGAAGGAGAGTGGAGGGACCACTGGTACCCGCAGAGTTGAGATTCATGGAGGCAGCAGGAGAAGGACTTTCCTAACTTCCTTCTCTCCTGGCCCCTAGTTTCCTTTCTGGGCCTCCTATTGGCCAAACCCAAGCAGAGGCCAGAGAGCAGGGCATCGTTGCTGAGAGKATGGCCAGACAGTGAAATGCCAAGTGAGGCGATTAATCAGCATGAATCTCTGCTAAATAGTAGAAGCATGCACCATGTGTGTCCCTGTCTGGAGGCACAGCAAGTAGATACGCAGGGGCTCCTTGACACTCTCCATCTAATTAGAGAAAGCGCATCAGATGCTGCTGGTCCCTTGTGATTATTCAATCAGTGGCTTCATTAAGCTGGAATAGTCATGAACTAGCTAATGYTAAATCGGGCCTGGCACCCTGCCCTTGAGAACCAGTCCCTTAATCCTAACTCAGAAGGGACTCAAACAATGCTAAATACGTCTAAATCAAGCCCAAAAAGAAAATACTAAAAGGGAAAGCAATCTCAATCCCTAAGCACATAGTACTTAATTTGTTGTATTTAAAGCTTTTAYAATTCTTCTTTCTGAGGTCCAGTTAAAATAAATTTTGAAGCATAGTAACCCTGTCTTCTTGACCCTGAGGCAAGTGCTCTGCCATCCTGACTTTATGGGGTCGTACACCTATAAAGGTTTTGCTGTACTTTAGTGTTTTTTAAAAATGCCATCCTAACAGAATGTAAATCGTGTATACAGCCGTTGGCTTCCAACACTTTTTCATGACTGCCGGCTGAGTAATTTCAATTCTAATTCTAAATATGTGTCACCGAGTCACTAGGAGAATGTTTTCAGAAATTGYAGTTGTTTTACTGAAACAAAACAAAGCCCACACATCAGCAACAAAGACAATTTAYTGGCAGAACTTACACCCATCAGCTTCTCACAWAATGCATAGGTTGGCCTCACCTGACACGGACCAAATAATTTATTTAAATTCAGAGATAAGCATGATTGCATTTTGACCAATAATTAACACATTATTATYATCAGTCAAAAATCAGAAATACAGAAAAATCAGAAATATGAAGAACAGCTTGGGAAAAAGGACTTACATATTTAGCCAGAAATGTGTTTGATATTATATTTCAAATGCTAATTATTTCTGTCTATGGCATATTAATAAATTGAAGTTCTACCATATTTCAGATAATTTTATCATTCAACAAGAAGAAAATCTTGGAAGCTGATAYGTTCTAAACATTATGATAAAAACCTACATTGTTTTTATTTTTAAACCAGCATTTATTTTTAAATCAGGAATCAATTTTRTAGGTTACCATTTGAGCAGGTGGAATCCAAATAGAATAATCATATGTAATTTGGTAGAAGCAAATATAKTA